ATGCCAAGGCCCTGATTTCATTTCTGAAGACGGCTCATGTGCCACAAGAGACGTCCGCTGATCAATTTACTAATTGTGTGGCCAACTTGACCGCTGACAATGGTTTGGGTTTCTCGGATGCTGATCTGACCGCTAAGGGAAAGAACCACAATGATGCCCTGCATGTCTCCATTGAATGCAAGGGCACTACTCTTGCACACGTGTTGGTGGACACCGGTTCTTCGCTGAATGTGTTTCCCAAGAAGGCCTTAGACAGGCTGGATTGTGAGGGTTTGGAGTTGAAGCCTATCAACATCGTGGTCCGAGCCTTTGACGGGTCGAAGAGGATGGTACATGGTGAAGTGGATATTCCGATTCGTGTTGGTTCCCAAGTCTTTGACTCAACATTCTATGTGATGGACATTCGTCCATCCTATTCCTGTTTACTGGGTCTTCCTTGGATTCACAAAGCTGGGGCTGTGACCTCCACTCTACACCAAAAGCTCAAATACCCTGTCAGAGGGAAGATTGTTACGGTACAGGGGGAGGAAGAATACATGGTTAGTCATCTGAACTCGTTCTGGTATATAGAGATGGACGGGGAGTTTATTGAAACCCCCTTTCAACATTTTGAAGAGGTACCTCCGACATTGGCGTCAGCGGAAACAGTGATTGAAGAAGACCTTCCTCTGAAGATGGCTTCCTTGAAGGACGCCCGAGCTGTAGTTGAAAAAGGTGAATGTGCAAACTGGGGCAGGCTCCCTGATTTTACTCCTAAGACTGACAAGTTTGGGCTGGGTTTTACTGCAGAGGCTCAGAGGGCTGTACGCAAAGCAAGGATCGGAAGACCTCCCGTGTTCATCACCAACCCGGGAGTGAATGCTATTGAAGGCGAGGCGGAGGAATCAGAGTTTGATAGTTGGATCTACCCGACGACCGACGGCGGACTGAACAATTGGACTGCAAAAGACCACATACCTGTTACTTTTGTTACGCAGTAATGAATTCCTTTGTTTTTAAATTTTTAATGAACAATAAATTGAAACTTTATGGCCCGGTGTCTTACCCGGGGCACCGTTGGTTTCATTTGTGAGGGCTTATTACTTGTCATTTCCATATATCATGAATAAAGACATTGGACGTTTTTTCGCATTTCAAATCTTGTGCTCCTTTTCTTTCTTTCTTTATATATTGCAAAACAGCTATATTTACACACACTCACCTATACAGGTTTCAATCCACTCTGGATCTCACTGGTAACGACTCTGCTACTGCCAGTTATGATTCGAAAATCCGATCAACTTAGCCGAAGATGAAAGTGAAGATGATTGTGAAGTGCCTGGTGAGCTTGCAAGACTGTTACTCCAGGAAGAGAGGGCCATTCAGCCACATGAAGAGCCAGTGGAAACGGTAAATCTGGGTACTGAGACAGATAAAAAGGAAGTTAAGATTGGTGCTAATCTAGAGCTCAGTGTGAAACAACGGTTGATCCAGATGCTGCATGACTATGTGGAAATCTTTGCCTGGTCCAATGAAGACATGCCTGGGTTGGATACCGACATTGTGGTCCATCACTTGCCTACCAAGGAAGAATGCCCTCCGGTAAAGCAAAAGGTCTGCCGTATGCGTCCAGAGATGTACGAGAAGATCAAAGCTGAGGTTATGAAGCAATTTGACGCCGGTTTTCTTGTAGTGACTTCTTACCCTCAGTGGGTTGCCAACGTGGTTCCGGTACCGAAAAAAGATGGTAAGGTCAGAATGTGTGTTGATTACAGGGATCTGAATAGGGCGAGCCCCAAGGATGATTTCCCTTTGCCTCACATCGACGTTCTGGTTGACAATACTGCTCAGCACAAGGTGTTCTCCTTCATGGACGGCTTTTCAGGTTATAATCAAATCAAGATGGCTCCTGAAGATATGGAGAAGACTACCTTTGTTACTCAGTGGGGCACCTTCTGCTACAAGGTCATGCCTTTTGGGTTGAAAAATGTTGGGGCAACCTACCAACGTGCCATGGTTGCTTTATTTCATGACATGATCCATCATGAGATAGAAGTATATGTCGATGATATGATTGCAAGGTCTCAAACTAAAGAGGAACACCTTGTCCATCTACAGAAGCTGTTTGACCGTCTGAAGTTGTACAAGCTGAGGTTGAATCCGAACAAGTGCACCTTCGGGGTAAGATCTGGAAAGTTGCTAGGCTTCTTCGTGAGCGAAAAAGGTATTCAAGTGGACCCTTCCAAGGTTAAATCCATACAAGAGATTCCAGTTCCCAAGACAGAGAAAGAAGTCAGAGGCTTTCTAGGACGTCTGAATTACATTGCCCGGTTCATCTCGCACCTAACTGCTACTTGTGAACCAATCTTCAAGTTGCTGAAGAAAGATCAAGTAGTACGTTGGAACGATGAATGTCAGGCTGCTTTCGACAGAATCAAAGAGTATCTCCAAGAACCACCCATTCTTATGCCACCGGTTGAAGGGAGACCTTTAATACTATACCTGACAGTACTTGACAGCTTAATAGGGTGTGTGCTGGGGCAGCATGACGAGTCTGGCCGAAAAGAGCACGCCATTTATTACCTTAGCAAAAAGTTTACCGACTGTGAGACCCGATACTCACTGCTAGAGAAAACTTGCTGCGCTTTGGTATGGGCTGCTCGCCGGCTGAGACAGTATATGCTGACTCACACTACTCTGTTGATTTCAAAGATGGATCCAATAAAGTATATATTCGAAAAGCCTGCTCTGTCTGGAAGAATAGCAAGATGGCAGATGATCTTGACAGAATACGACATCCAGTACACGACTCAGAAAGCAATCAAAGGAAGTGTATTGGCAGATCACTTGGCACACCAGGCAGTAGACGACTACCAGTCAATGAACTTTGAATTTCCAGACGAGAATATCATGGTGGTGACTGATTGTGAAGTACCTGGACCAGATGAAGGACCTGAGGAAGGATCTTGATGGTCAATGCACTTTGACGGAGCCTCCAACGCTTTGGGTAACGGCATTGGCGCTGTGATCATATCCCCCAAAGGCACTCATACTCCACTTACTGCCCGGCTGTGTTTCAACTGCACCAACAACATGGCGGAGTATGAGGCATGCATCATGGGTCTTCAAGCTGCGATTGACTTAAGGATCAAGTTTCTGAGTGTCTTCGGAGATTCCTCTCTCGTGATCAATCAGATCAAAGGCGAGTGGGATACGAAACACCCAAACCTTATTCCTTACAAAGAGTGTGTGTTAACATTGATCCCCCATTTCACAGAAATAACTTTTGAACACTTCCCAAGAGAGGAGAATCAGTTGGCGGACGCGTTGGCTATGATGTCTTCTATGTTCAAAGTCAAATGGGATAACGAAGCTCCCCGGATCATTATCGGGAAACTGGACGAACCTGCATACTGCTGTGATCTTGAGGCTGAGGTGGTAACTGAAAAACCTTGGTATCATGAGGTGAAGAGGTATCTGGAAGCTCAGGAATACCCTCAAGGTGCATCCATCAATGACAAGAAATTCCTGAGAAGGTTCGCTGGAAAGTTCTTCCTCAGCAACAGCATTCTATACAAACGAAACCATGATTCAACCTTACTGCGTTGTGTGGATAAAACTGAAGCGGAAAGAATCATGGCAGAACTGCATGAAGGTACCTTCGGAACACATTCCAGTGGACACACCATGGCAAAGAAAATCCTTCGGGCAGGATATTTCTGGTCCACAACGGAAGCCGACTGTTACCAACATTCTCGGACATGCCATAAGTGCCAGATATATGCAGATAAGGTGCACGTTCCTCCAGTCCCTCTGAATGTCTTGACTGAACCTTGGCCTTTTGCAATGTGGGGCATTGATATGATCGGCGAGATCAAACCTACGGAATCCAACGGGAATTGCTTCATCCTGGTAGCGATTGATTACTTTACGAAGTGGGTTGAAGCAGCTTCCTACGCCACTGTAACCAAGAATGTCATGGCACGGTTCATTCGGCATAACCTGATTTGTCGATACGGTGTCCCGGTGTAATACCCCAAATTTGTCCTACCCTTCTACTTCCTATCTGGCTTACGCATTTTTGCATTTTTCTCACATTAGGTCATCTAACACATCATGCATCATTAATCAATAAATTGGCATAAGATCATGGATTTCGAGGAATAAGGGTTGGTGTATGGCTTTAAGGCTCCCATCTTCGCACAAGCTTGTTTCGGTTGATTTCTCCATTAATAATCTGCTTGAAGCTAGGTTTTCATTTCATGGACCTTATCATCATCAAGCTACGATGCTATTCTTTTCTTCTCAATGTCAAGTTGCAAGGTTTTATGAGACGAAGCTAAAAATCAGGGTTTATACATTTTCATATGTGAGCTTGTCAGCATTCTACCTGAGGTTCATTCTATATCAAGGTATTCACATGTCTCATCTTTCATATTCATCTGCAAAGAATCCCTCATGGCATAGTAATTATCATCTATTGAGAAGGGGTCCAAGACGTCGTTATTATAGTGCTCATATAATCGGGACATGGTACAAGATGTTGATTGTGATCAAGGTGTCGTTATTTCAAATGTTTATTGCTTGACACAAAAGTTTGGTTTATACTGAGGAATTGAATTGAATTAGGGGTTCACTGAAGCTGTGGTTTGATTAGAATTCATTCATCAATATTTGAAGTGGATTTGGAGAAAATCAAAATTCTTAAATATTCGCGTGGCTTTTCTTGGAATTCAAACCACAAATATGAAAAAGCATGCATCAAATTCATCCAACCATCAAAATATTGTCCAAATAGCCTCTCTTGGATTCATTCAAGATTCATGTCTCTTTTGGTTACCTTGCAAATATTTTGGATTCATACCATTTATTTTGAATTCATACAAAGGCCATTTCATTATGTGGAAATAAAGTCAACATACATTACAATTATTCAAATACATACAAATCCAAATTCCATTACAATTATACATAACATCTATACATTTTTACCAAAACCTATCCTAATTTTCAATCATTCTTCATGTTTCAAACTTCAAGCTTCCAAAACTTCGTGTTATGCGTCTTTGTTCCAACTTCATATCATCTTGGTGTTTTCCTTTTGCCTTTGCTTCCCAATAGCCCTGATATGAACCAAACCTGCAAAAAAAAATATATCGGATGAACTGTCATAAACATGAACCGCATACACTTCACTTCCATTCCAATTTTCTCACCCTACATTTTTGAAAGAGAATATGGCTGTCACAGGTTCTTCTGGTTCTGGGCAGCCGCAATTCATTTCCAGCTCTGGAAACCAAAGCCTTTCCAATTCTCCGCTTATTGACACAACAAAATAGAAACAGACCCATAGCATGATTTATCTCCACCATTAGATCCCTAACATCTAACTGACCTCCTAATTATTCTAACAGCTTCCTAACCAAATTCTAACCAACTAACATATCTATAACTAACTTTTCCCTCATTCCTAACTGTAACAAACTCCTAACTAATTTCTAACATTTTTCTAACTTAACCCAAAACCATATCTCAACTAATCCTAACAGAATTACAAAGTCCATAAACAACCTCTAACTGATTCAAATCTCACCATCTATTCCATAACTAACTCATTCAATTCAACAGTTCAGATTCAATTCAACCATAACAAACTTCCAGCATATATAAATAGAGTACACAGCATATGCATAAAGGGGGACAGAATAGATAAGAGTTCAACACAGAAAAAAAGATTGGATTACCTCTCAATCATCTCATTCTGCAATTTTGCAGTAGAATCTCCAAAAACCTTTTCCCTCTTCTCCTTTCATCTTCATCTCATTCTCCAACTGCACAATCACCATAAAAATACAGAAAGCTCTCTCCCTTTCTTCTTCATCTTCATCACGTTCATTCTTCACTTCTGAAAGAAGAATCACAGAAAATTATCTCTTTCTTCTCTCATATTCATCTGCTAATACACCAGAAAAGAACTCTCTTTTTCCCTGCCTCTCTGAAGAACACAATTCAGAGGAAGAATTCATATAGAACTTCACGAAAAAGGAGAAAATCATCTCTGAATTGGCAGAATTTATCTATCAGATCATCTCTCTACGAATCCATAACGACAACTGCAACAATCTTTATCACCAATTCCTCCTCCTCCAATCTTCATCCTTAGCACCTTGACATCATCATCACCTTCGGTAAACAAAAACATCGACATCAAATTGCAACAAACGCAAAACCAGAACCCATAGAGAGACAACACAAAAAGAAGACCGAAAGAAGATTCTCAAACGCGGAAGCTAAAGCATCACATTACCTCTGGTTTTCTTACAAACGTCACCGTTGAAATACCGTCGGAGCGACTCCGACAGAAGCTATAGATACGACGGCGTTGTTTCAATTGACGTAGGGAGAAGAGAAAGATAAAAGCTTGATTGAGAACCGAATGGAACCGAGTCAGAGAAGGCGTAGCAAGTTCGTCAGGGAAGAGAGATTGAGACGAGGTTTAGGCACATATTGAAGCTTTGAAGGTTGAAATTGCTGAGCAATCGATCGGAGATGAAGAAATGATGACAGCCGCGTCGGTGATGAGAAGAAGGGAAACTGAGACGGAGCAATGCAACGGACGAAGGGCCGGCGGCGCCGCCGCTGTTCCGCTTGAGAGGAAGAGACATTTTTTTCCTTAACGTTATTCCTTTTCCAATCTTTTCTTTAACCATATTCCTTTTCCAATATTCATACGTTTTTCCTTTTTTTTAATTGCCTTATTATTCTATTATTTTTATTTCAAATTAATAATAATAATAACTAAGTAAATAATTATTAAAAATGCTTATCGGACTCATGTCATGTTGGGCCATAGCGCCTAGATTTGGCTTGCACCACCCTGAATTCAGCTTGTACCCCCTTGATTCTTCTAATTTTTATTTTAGTTTTTTTCTTCTAATTTAATTTTTTTAATCAATAATAAAACAAAAAATAATAGAATATTTTTAGAATAGAATTTCTTTTTAGAATTTCAATTAGAATTTTTTCTATTTTATTTTTCATATTCGATAATCATTTTATTGACTTTTTTAGTCAAGATTTTTGTGATAGCATCGACATAACTCTTGCAATGTGGAATGCTCGGGGTGAACTCTTCAATCACTCGTTCGAGGAAACTTTGATAGAATTTTCTTACCGCTTGCACAATTTTGAAGAGGCAACGGACCTTCTCCGTTCGGTATTGTCGCAAATCTATTTTATTCTTCATTTTCGTACTTTATCGCAATCCATATGCATACTAACATCAGGTAGAAATTTTCCCTTTAACCTAAATCTTATGGCTACTAACGCATAACAACATTAGGTTTAGAAGTAAGTTAGTCCCATTTGACTTTCCTTTCTCTTTGAACATACGCACCTAAAACTAAAACTTCTTTTCTTTCAAAAATTCAAAAATACTTTAAAACTATTGATGAGAATCATACTTTTGCTTAGTACGGGAAATGATAAGCGAGTCTCTTCTCGATCTTATTGTTCTTCATCTCAAGCATAGGTGTGGTTCAATTCTCAAAGACTCCTTTCATGACTAAGTAGAAGAATGGCTAATATCTCTCTCTTGAGGTCAATCAGTCATCATCTACAACAAAAATACAGAACAAAATCAAATCTTTTGTGCACTCGAGCACCATTTCATTAAAAAAAACCTTTTCAGGTAAGGACACGATTAATTTACTTCTGTGCCAACGCATAAGTCTCCAAAGGTCGAGCTGCGGCAGAAGGCGGGATTAACTTCGTCCATAAAAAACACAAAACAAACAAAAAAATGTGAGCCGAACTACGGTAGCTCTGATTCCTCAAAAAGGATACGTAGGCATTGGGGTAGGGCCCAGGCGAGCACAATTTTATTTTCCCTACATTCTTTTCTCCTTTCTTTTGCATGCATTCCTTTCAGTAGTATAGTAAACAATAAGCATAGACGAAACACACCCATAAGATAGATAACAAGAGTGGATACCGTAGAGTACTACAGGCGTGTGGGGTGCTAATACCTTCCCCTCGCGTAAGAGACTCCCTTACCCGATCTCTCGGTCGCAAGACCGTGACTTCTCCTTCATCAGGTTTTCTCGATGTTTACCTTTCCCTTCATGTGGGATAAAAAACGTTCGATGGTGACTTCATTGTTTTGATGATTTTCAGCCGGTTGTTTCACCCGGAAAGGATCATTACGGACAACGGTACCAATCTTAACAACAAGATGATCACTGAGCTCTGCGAGCAATTCAAGATACAGCACCACAACTCTTCTCCTTACCGGCCGAAGATGAATGGGGCTGTAGAAGCAGCAAATAAGAATATCAAGAAAATTGTGCAGAAGATGACAGTGACCTATAAAGATTGGCACGAGATGTTACCGTTTGCTCTTCATGGGTACCGTACCTCAGCAAGAACGTCAACCGGGGCAACTCCTTTTTCCTTGGTCTATGGCATGGAGGCAATCTTGCCTATCGAAGTCCAGATACCCTCTCTCCGGATAATGAAGGATGCAGATCTGAGTGAAGATGACTGGATCCAGACTCGACTTGATCAATTAAACCTGATTGACGAAAAGAGACTTACTGCTATATGTCATGGTCAAACGTATCAAAAACGGATGATCAGGGCATTTAACAAGAAAGTCAAACCACAAGAGTATCAAGTTGGGGACCTGGTAATCAAGCGCATCATCCTTCCTCAAAGTGATCCCAGGGGCAAATGGACCCCTACGTACGAGGGGCCATTTGTGGTTAAACATGTGTTCTCAGGAGGAGCCATGATTCTAACCACCATTGATGGTGACGACCTTCCTCACCCCACCAATGCAGACATAGTAAAAAGATACTACGCATGATAAAAGACCCGCTAGGTTGACATACCTAGGCAAAAATTAGGGCTTCCCGACGAACCAAAAGGGTTTGGGCAAAATGAGGGATGAAATAAAAAAAATCTGTACACCCGGCAAGTCGAAAACCTGAAAAGGCGGCTTGGGCAAAAATGGGTATCCCGGTGGACTGAAAACCCGAAAGGGCGGTTCAGGCAAAAGTTAGGGATAAGCGTAATACTATGTCTCATTGGATCACCTTGCATCCAGAATCCGGTATCAACATCAGGTTCAGACGGCATCGATCAGTCAGCTTCATCTTCAACTGAGCAGCCAAGTGATGAGACACCCGAAGATATAAAGGCGATAGCAGAGTTGGAACCCAGTGGGATTGTTCTTTTCACATAGCTGTTTTGTTTTCCCTTTTCACAAAATTGTATAAACTCTGTTGTTCGGCGGCGTTCTCTTACTAGGACGTCAGCCTCTTGTACATAAACGCCTATTTACAGGCAAATTCAAAAACCAATACAAGTTCACTTTTCAGACCAATTGCCAATTGTTTTTTTCCTATTTTCTATTTTGTTTTGCAAAGAACGTCCAATGTTCAATTGTGATATATGCATTTGACACTAATTTCTAACTCATATTTGAATACGAAACAAAGGATTAATTACAGGTGACATCAGAAACAGGGGCAATAATGAGTTGTCTAAGCAATCTAATGGCTCTGTCCACCAAGGTACCAAGGTAAGTTCGGCTGAAAAATGTAACCAAGATGCCTTAATTCCCTAGAGAGTGAGCCAAGGTTCAGCCATACTCCCCCCGAGCAGAGAAAGCACAGTATTCTCCAGCAAGTCCGCAACACTCTCCCCGAGCAGAGTTATCCTCAGTCAGTCTTAAGGAAGTTGGATTATCCCCCGAAGATCTCAACATTCCCCAACGGAGTATACAGACATTCCTAACAAGCGTCCCCGACAATATTGATCTAAGATTGTTCTCCGGCGGAATACCGAACATCAAGTGGAGCCACCTCCCCAGTGCAATTCCAAAAGTCTCCCTAGGAGAGTTGAACCATCTCCCCAGTAGGAAGCTTACCCCCAGTAGATTCTGGAAGCTTACCCCTGCAGAGCACGAACGCGTCTCCCCGGCTTTATTCAAAGGTTATTTCCCCACCAGGATATAACTGGGTTATCCTCAGCCAATTTCCACGGAAAGATCGTCCTCGGCGAAGTTCTTCCTATCCCCCTATGGAGTTCATCAAATCTTCCAACATAACTCAACAATGGTATCCCCAGCGGAGTTATCATCAACATCTCGGCAAAGTACATCTCTTCCCCACAGAGCATTCCCCACAGAGTAATCTCTTCGCCAAGTTTATTCCCCAACGGAGTCATCTTTTCCTATCGGTTTATGCTTGCAACCATCATCCCCAGTGGAAATGAAGAACTTCACTCCCCAACATCAGCCCAGGATTCAACTTCCCGGCACCCGTCAAGGATTTATTTTCCTAGACGAAAATA